CAACCCACTCACCATGCGTTCCCCACAACAATGGAACCTGCGGGAAGCCTATACCCACGATACTCGTCCTCGACTGCAAGCCGCCGAGGGATCGCTGAACGGAGGAACAATCAGAAGTGACCATGGGATCTGCGACGAAGATGAACTCGCCTAATGGAGAGACAACCTCCCACCGCATGATCTCTTTGACCAGTGCTGAGATGTATGGCAAAGCGGGTTCATCCTCAAAGGTGGGCAGATATTTTCGGCCGGTGACGGAATCGATTTCTGCCTGGGCTCTCTTCTGTGCTTCCGGATTCGCGAGCATGGCAAGAACGAAGGTACCCAAGACGGAAACGGTCGTGTCTGCCCCACCGATGTACATCGTCCCCGCGGTGTGCTTTACGTGATGTTCCTGATAATATGGCTCCCTGTCGGGATCATTGAGGGCTTGTAAGCTATCGGCGGTGAACGACGGCGGGGCTATCCCAGCATCCTGGTGTCTGCTGTAGCACTCTGATTCGAAGTATGAGCTAACGTACCATCTGCCTTTTAGTCTCTGCGTAAGGTAGCTCCGACATGTCTTGCGCCAATTTGCGCCATTCTTCTGCTTGGCGCTTGAACTCAGCCCCAGGAAACCATCGCGGAATGTGTTTAAGGATTGGGAAGGTGTCCTGCCAAAGTCAGTGCTATACAGGTGTTTTTGGCAGGTATCAAACTGACAACGAGGTACACTCCAGGGACAGCTGCGAAGGCGAACGTGCGTACGGCCTTGTGAGCCAGAGTAACATACGGATCGTCGGAAGGCAGAACGTCGATCCCGTATGTTATGGACATGATGATTTCGCCCGCCATTCTGTTTTGTTTTTTTTTTGTTCCAATGATGAGCTTGTGAATCCTAGATTCAGGGGATACGCACTGTCTAAAGTGATCCATGAAATCCTCTGGGGCAACTGTCAATCGGGAAAGAAGGATGTGGGCCCCAGCTAATTCCGCAGGCTCGTATTTTCGAGCCGCTTTGACGTTGAATGTTTCGTTAAGCAATCGGCGATTTTTCCGCCTGAATGGTAGTGAATATCATGAGGATCCTAGATATAGGCTTCGCACCAATCGTCCCCTATTTTTATGAGTTTTGAGATCGTCAGTCGAGCGAGAGATAGTGCAACGCACCGTATTTCATTATCGCTAGAGAATGCTAGGTTAGCTTCTATCTCATGTATTCCTGGCAGAAAAAATCGTACCGACATTAAAGTCCCACCCCATTAGCTCTCTAACCATCGTGAAGTCGCCTCTGACAAAAGAGTCATGAATACAGCATTGCATTCCTTCGGCACGCTTACCTGTCCGAATAAAGGGAGGAGCGTTTCTCAAACAGGGCGTCCGTTGCTTCAAACGACGAAAGTACAATGACTGACGTCCCCGCGAGATCCAGGTGGATGATATCAGAATCTGTTGCAATCAGTACTGGCGGTGCGGGCAATAAGCCCAGAACGCACCGTATTGTTTACTCCACCGCGCATACAACTTCCATTGGAGGGTGGACGGTACATCAAAAAGGTTACCCACGAGAGGTAACTTGGGAGGACCTGGAGGGAGGGGTAGTTTGCGGTGGCGAATACGCAAACGAACCGCATACAGCGTTGTCAGAATGATCACGATTGTGCATATAACAAGTGTGCTTGGGACGTCCGGGGATCGCATGTCTGTCGAGGGAAAGTTTCATGTCGTCTCTCAGACTGTGTCTGTATTTATAGGCAAGATTCTGTCAGTCCGCCGAAGAGATAGATGGCCGAGCCATGCACGCGACATCATTTCTGCCGGCAGGCCCACCTAAGTACGCTCAGAGAAGGCACAAACATGGGACTTTCAGGCCGAGAGAGGAAGTCTAACACGGTCGTAGGCCTTCCGAGCACCGCCAACATCGGAGGATGGGCTAGCCAGAGGAAACATAGTCATAGAAGATTGAACAGTGGCGGGGTCGGGAGCTGATCAAATCAGCCCGCCCTCTCGCTCCACAAAAAAAAAAGAAATTAAATGGAGAAAGGGCTTCTGGGTGCAAGGCCGGCGGCGAACTCGTGCAGGGAGCACGGAAAAAGCGAAAGGGAACAGCGTCACGACTTGTATGTGGCAAACGTGGGCTCGATAAAATCAATTAGTTTTTACCCTGGGGCTCGCAACTAGGCTCGTTACCAGCCGTTATAGTAGCCGCACAATGAAGAGCAAGCAGGGATTGTATGTTATATACACAATACCTGCTTGCTCGTCATTGTCCCCGCTGCTCATGCTATAACGGCTCAGTAATATCTCACGCTCAAAATGAATCTCGTCATCGTCGCCGACGTCACCCTTCGCCGCAGCGTCAAAAGGCCTACCATGAATGGAGGTGACTACGCAATACCGGGACGCGTTCATGCTTGGAGTTGACTGCAGGTAAGAGGACGTCAAGGAAAAGGGAGAAAGGCAAGAGAAAGGCGAATCGGAAACAGCCGGCATCAGATCAGCACGTGAGCGATGAAACTTGCACAGCTTTTCCCTCTTTGTCACTCAGGACAACCGTAGAATCTCATTCAAATCGAGCCCAGGCATGACCGCGAAGTCTGAAAACAGAACGTGTACCATCGCTACAATTTCTCTATGGCTCTAGCTATACATTTGCTCTAATTATTCAAGAATATCGAAATGATGCTGTTAGATAACCTCGTCAGTGGTCACCAGCCTGGTTGATTGTTCAAGACACTATCCATATGATGTTACTCGAACTCGATGCGATGTTGAGACCTAGGAATGCGAGGGAATGCGATGCAAGACACCGATTGTCAGCGAAATTATGGGATGAAAATTCTCACATTACAGCTTGCGACGCGACTCACGGGGCGTCTGAGCGTTCGGGGGCGTCTGAACCTTCGGGGACGCTGGATCCATGTGGAGACTGTCGGAGCTCCGCGGCGTAAGCGGGCGCCGGGATTTTGGGCTGCCAAGTTTGCCGTCGATCTAAAAACAAGGAAACTTCAGTACGCTGCTGTAAGTGGTCAAAAAATAGTTACCAAAGAACCGGGGGAGCTGCGTATGCTAACTAAGTAGCGGGAAGAGACGCCTTCGTCTCTAGTGCGTATGCACGCAGAGGTAGCATTGCGAGTCTGGGGGGGGGGGGAATCGTGAGCACAAGCGATGAATGACCACGAAAGATAAGTTACTTGGACCGCAGGGAGCAGGGAGGTGCTGGCACCCGAGCAGCGTGGAGACGACTGCTTTGAGAAATGTTGGTCTCCTGAATGTTAGAATTCATGAAAAATCACGTACATGAATTACCTGTAGCGCGGAGCTGCTACTCTCACTGCCGTTATACTCCGCTGCTGGCCGCTGGATAAACTATGAATATGTAAATCGAGAGTAAAACTCGGAATGTGTCAGGTACCGAACGACGCTCAGGAAAGGGTAGCTGTGAAAGTTAGAATCTCGAATACATCGGGGGACGCAGGGATAAGTACCTGACGATCTACGGGCGTCGCCTAGGCTTTCAAGGGAGCTCGGCAACGGCGGCGGGCTGTATGGGCGGGGCTGTTGATCAGGTGAGTTGTGATCCTATTCCGGCAACGCAGACAACGTACCACCAGCGGGATAGGCGGGAGCTCATGCTCTATTTCACTAGGAAAAAGACGGAGGCGCGAATGGGTGATACTGGACGACCGATATTAACTCATAACAGCACAGACGTGAAAAACGACGAACTCGCAATGCGAGTTCGTACTCCTGTGCTGGTGCGATTACATGATACTGGACTGTAATGGAGAACGCGTACGTGATTCATCTCTGGTCGCGATTGTGGCAAACCATCAGTCGGATCCTGGAACTAGGACATGATTAACGGACAGCCGGAACGCAGTTCAAGAGTAGATAGTACCGGCAGCAAATAATGAAAGTGGAAAGTAACAATCTCAGGGGAGGGGATAGCATCTAGGTTCGGAGACTTGTGCACGCGACTGAATCTGTTCGAGATTTTGGAAAAATACTACGTCTATTTGCAAATTAGAACCTCGAAAGAGGAGAATGAAAACCAGTGTGAGGCATACCTTCGGTCGCCCAATGGTTGGCGGAGCTGGTCCGTCTAGGTGCCACCACTTTCGCACTGCAACTTTCTTCTCAGTCTTTTAGTGCTAACCGAACACGCCGACACACTTCGAAAGATAAGACTTCACCGCGACCTTGATGAGCGGATAGAGTAAGGCGGTGACCCAGTCGGTTCTCCAGGCAGTGTCCTTTCCGGATTTAACCCAGACAGCGCCTATGAACGCCCTGAAGGCTTTGTCGACTTTTTTTGACATTATTGACCGCGCGAGGGTCGATCTTCTTGAAGACTTTTATGAGGGTCTCGTTTGACGCGAAACATGTCTCTACACTCTGAGCGGGTTGGGTGAGCATCAACCGCGTAGTTTGAGGCTGGCATGACTTTCATACCGTGGACAACCCCACAGGCTTTCCCGCCAACTCATCATCCAGCGCAAGAAACATAGCGAAATCGAAGAGGGCCTTGCCTTTCAGGTACATCAAGTCGCGCGTTCCGGCTTCCGAGCGAGCGTGACCCTCGGTTTGCTTGACCTCATCTGCGAGATGGGCCCACTCGGACCGGTGCAGGAAAGGAAAGTTAGGGACAAAGGAGTCGGGGGATTTGATATAGGCCAGGACGGCGGTCTTCATAGCTAGGTGTATCCCAACCACCACGATTGTCGGAGGGCAAGAAGAGGAAGCATGGCAGAAGAAGATCAAGCGGCACTGCCACTGACGCGTCATGTTGATCTCGATTCCCGAAGATTGATTCCGCGGATCTACATAAGGACAACTACTATAAACTGCTATAAAGGCCGTGTTCTGTGGAGTCCTTGGCTAATTCAAGTTCGACAACGCAATTCTGTTGCGGAGGATTACACCTTAAAGAGTTGGGCTCGGCCATGCATCTGCACACTGAGTAAAACCTTTAATCGGGCGTAGCCATACTATATTCACCCAAAATTTATTTTCGTCGTGGCTACTATGAATCAGTGGTTAGATCGCCTGCCGGATGATTAGTTTCGACGGCTGGAGGCCGGGGATCGATTCCCCGTAGTGCCATACGGGAGTTGGGTAGAGTTGGGTGCGTCGAAGAATGGAGCACCCGAAAAACTACTATTGCGCGCTCTCCTAGTGATCGGGGTTTCTCATGAGTTTTTTCTTTTATTAACTGTCCAAGGAATGCCCGGGCGCAGATGAAAGTTGTTTCCCCACTGCCAGTGTGAATAGTTATCCTTCGGGATAATTTATGTAACGTAATAAGAGTGCAATCAAGTTCACCATGAACATACAATTTCAATGCAGACTCAAAAAGAGGAAGAGGGCAAATTCAAACATTTGAGATAAAAACCGATCACTCATATACGATCGTACAGACGGAGGACAAAAACCACATCGAACGAAACAAGGAATGCTTTACATCAGCTGGGGCAATCAATCGTCGCCGCCAGTTGGTAAGGACGGGACGCCCTCAGGTGCGCCAGGATTAGGGAGGGACCCATGGATCTGATTCTGAGCCTGGCACATGGACGTGCAGTCTGAAGCCGCAGGACCCAACTCGGTCGCGTCCTCGCCTAACACAATCCCAACTCTGCCGCCTGGGGCGACCGACCAACGCGAGGTGGCGCCATCTTGGAAGGTCCGGTTAGCGACCTGGGGGCTATCTTTGCCAATGAGCATCTGTCCAAATCCATATACATTTAGGGCCCGGGATGGAAGAGATATAGAGGTGCACGCACTGTGTGAAAGCCCGTAGCATTTTGTGTTTTCGAGACGGCACCAAGCCCATCACCGACTAATTGTTGGAGTAAGTGACAAGGGCGGATTCAATGAAATACTTACAGTTTGTCTTGTTCGTAAATGGGTTTATGAAATAGAACAACTCCGGTCCGAGTTTGTGCACGAATTCGATGTTCGATGCTTCATGGCGGGCGAAGTAAGTAACCTCAGATGGTGGGATATTGCCAGCTACTGACAAAATTCAGTTTCGATTTGAAGGATTCCGCCTATATAATTCCGTGAGCGTCAGAGTCAGAATTACCGAGGACGTGCTAAATTACCCGTCGCGCCATCGTTAATCTGGTATTTAACCTTACCCGCTGTAATGACATGCGTCAATATTGGCGTTATAACAACTCGGGCCCCATACCTGAAGTTTCAAAGAGAACGAGAGCGCTGTCGTCCTTGACTTCAATTGTCCTGACGTTGATCGTTCCCAGCTGCGTCTTCGTAAGACTGATTGTCTGTGAACTGAATATCACAGTAGGCTTTGCAACGATGCGCCGATCGTCCGGGAAACCTAAAGCGCGTTAAAATCGGTCGTTGACAGAGGAAAGATGCACCGACCAGTCAAAGTGTAGTTGAGCAGATTGAGGGTAGATGGATCAATGTCGAGCCCCATATGCAAGCCGCGAACGAGAATGGGTCCAGTCGGGATACCGAGATTATCGAGCTTGATGTCCTGGCCGTCCGCGGGGTTGAGGACCATGTTGTTTACGGTGACGATGATGTCACCATCGGTGGACTTGGTGACCACGCCAGGGAGGAAGACGGCGAGAATGGCAAAAAAGGGGAGCATCGCGTACATTGCTGCGCCTGGCACGGTAGATTGGACCTCCCTTTAAATGATTGGGAGGAGCTACCCATGCAGCCAGGACCACGCTGCTCATGGCGCTCCTGTGAGACAAATTCTCGGTTTCGATCCCAAGTTCCTCACAAAAATCCACGGAACGAGTGCACGTCGCCAGGTTTTTTTGCAACCGATTGGCCCAACGACATTTTTCTTCCAACGAGGAGTGCCAGGGAATCTACGGGATTAATCCGCGATACAAACCAAGTCATGGGTCCTTCTCCCAAACGGCGGGCGTTCTGTCAACATTTCGAGTGGCCATGCAGCTCTCCCTATTTCAGCAGAAACGCAGACACACATTTACCGCGCTACTTCCCAGGCTAACCCAAAGAGGAAACTTGGTGGCGGTGAGAAAGTTGGACAAGAATTGATGGCATCCACTTGGTTGGACAAGAATCCACCCGCTTGGTTGGACACAAATCGGAAGTTGGTCAGGGGACCAGCCATGGTACAATGCTGCGGAATGACGAGTGGTAATGAGGAAACGAGCCCAGCACGGATTCAAGCAGACGACCCTCGATTTGAACAAGGCAACGCTTAGCCTTGTCCTATCGTTGCGCGGGAGGAAGGATTGGCGAACCGCAGGGCTGGGTTGAGAGCGCAAATCGGTCTCACACATCATATCGATGGACAGAGTTCGAAGGTTCGACGTTACCTGCCCTCGATAAGCGAACGGATAAGTGGCAATTGTCGCACTGGATGGAACGAAACGAGAGGACGTCTCCGGTGCTGCTCAGATAAAATGGAACGGAGCTGAAGGAGATGGTCATAGAGAGCTGAAATTGGAGATCGAGGTGAGGAATTGGCACCGCAGCTTGGATATTTCGGGCGGGCTTACTGAGCTCATTCTACAATTGCATCGACGATTACGGTTCCTATCCGTTTATAATGGCTAACCGACCGGGAACTCACAATATAGTCCCAGCGAGTCGTGATATCACGTCACATCTTCCAGTGGATATCATGCCTAAGGCCTTCCACGAATTCGAGTCCCTGTGGCTGCAAGAAATTAGTGTCCACAGTGCCGGAGTCTAGCCAGGCCCCGTGAAGCTCTCGAAAAAAGACCGCGAAAATTCTGTACCAGACAGGGCTTGTCACCTGGAGGGTCCGAAAATCGACTTTCCCCCATTGTTTTCGCTTTCGAGGGCCATTTTGATGTATTGCTGCTCATTCGACGAGCGCCTCGAGCTTCGGTGTTTAGCCTCCTCAAGGCTCCAAACTGCCGAGTTTTCGCCTAAGAATGCCAGGATTTGCGATTTTCGGCCTCGAAAATCCCATCTGCGGACAAGGGAATTCAAAGAAAAGTCTTGGCGGGAGTTTCACGGACGAAACCACCCGCTTGGTTGCATATAAATTAGAAGTAGTGTATGGGATGGTCAGGAGACCAGACCATAGCACAACGCTGTCGGGTGACGAAAGGAAACGATCCCAGTGCATGGATTCAAGGCAGAGGAACCCGATTTGAACAAGGAAAGTGTTATCGTATCGCTGCTGGGCAGGAAGAAATTCGATCCAGGCGCCTGGATCGAGAGCGCCATTCTGTCACCCAATCGAACCGATGGACAGGTTTCGAAGGTGAGGTGACATTGTGAGATAGCCTCCTCGATAAGCGAACGGATAATTGGAATTGGTGTATTGGATGGAACAGAGATGGGGGGGTGTCTTCGGCGCCGGATAGAAGGGGATTAGGAGGAGATCGCCAGCGACATACTGTAGGGATACCGACGTCAGGGATCGGGATGAGGGACTTGAAACCGCAACTTGGGGATTCGAGCATGTCCACCGAGGGGGTTGTTTTATAATTGCGTCGACGATTCCTTTGACTTTTTTTTTTTTGGTTAGACGTTGATAAAATCGACTTTGAAGGATCGTGGTATCGAGGGAGGGCAGAATGGTGGAATAGTCCTACGGGGGAGAGAGAATTCGAGCCCCTGGGACGATGTCATCGATGATGAGGATAGAAAGAATGCCTGTGAGGGCAGCGCGTATGCGGTTAAGAGGGTCCTGGACATGAGTTTTATGTCACATGCCCACCCCGCGAAGCCTGCACGAGGCAGGTCGTCGAGAAGGGCCGCGAGAACCACTCTGTCGGGGTCGCCAAGAGAAACCATGTATGTGGTGGCGTCCGGGTACATGCGGAAGGCGTCAGATTTTTGTACGCATTTCCAGTTTCAGCGGAGAGAAGAGCATCGAGCAATGGAGCGAAGATCGCGTCTGCTCGCGGCGCAGTGTCTGTGGTTCAAGGAGTCAGACACAAACATCTGGGGTCTGAGCGGCTCAAATCCCGTGCTCCGTGGAGGGAGCAGTCGGCGCCAGCGAGAGCGACGAGGCTAGAGGAACGGGTCGAGGTGCGCGTGCGTGCGCAGTGGCGCCGTACTGAGACAAGACTCCAAGATGACCCCCTAGAATGTTGGGGAGCCGTATGTAGGATTCACAAGGGTTAGTGCGTCAGTCTGACAAGAATCGCGGGGAGCGCGAGAGTTGCGCGAGGAACCGCTCGCATGGTGGCCGAAACGCGGCCGAAGATCCCCGACATCCCAATTGGGCCGCTACCGCTACGAGCCGAAAACGGAAGGGCCCCACGTGCCTGCCACGTGCAGCACCCACCATAGGTCCAATGTAACTCCAATCCTCTGCCATCCCGCTCCCATTCGCCACCACAACTTATGTATCCCCCCTGGCTCCCTATGCGCTGAATCTATGCTACTCCTCTCCAGACCACTGCAATTCAGCGGCGTTTAAAATACTCGCCTGGCACCAACCTGGCACCGATGTCCATTGTCGAGCGTAACCATAACTGAGCAGCTCATCCCAAGCAAATTATCTATTGAATATCTCTTTGCGAGACTCCAAACACTCCCACCGCACCTCCGGAATCCGTCGATATTCTAAGCTTTTTCACTTACTTTTCACCCAGTTTGTCAAAAGGTCATTTCAAGGTCGAATTCCTCGCTACATCACACACATCCGGGTACTTACATACTTGGATGTGGAAGAGTGGCCGAGCCTCAGTCAAGGCAAAAGGTCTCGCTTCCAAAGTCTTACAATTTCTTGGCCGCCGGTAAAATTTTGATCAAATTCCCACAACTCTGAATTCACTTCCACCATGTTTGTGTTCCACATCTGGCACGCGTATGGCTTACTATACTCAGCCTTTCCCTTCTATGCATCCCATGCGCGTCGATGAACTCACGGGTGGTTCCCAATCTCTCCCCGAGCTTTCGCTTATTTGGTTCAATCAGGCCAAGACTTGAAGCGTTGTCAGTTCTTGTACATTATGCGTCGGAATCACGTCCGTCTTACCCCTCAACATAACGTCTCACGTCGAATCTACATCTCCTTGCACCCTCGTTCTGTTCTGAATGCCGCGTGCTCCTTTGGCAGTCCATGTTGGTTATTTTCGCATGTTGCTATTGGTACAGATATCACCTCG